GTTTGGCACAAAGCATGACTGATGTCATGCCCATCTTGATGGATGTGGTGGGATTGGATGGGGGCTGGATAACAAGTCTCGGGAGGTCTCCACCCAACACCGAGTGCAGCTGCCTGGGGCGCTGAATGGGACACTGGTTAGCAGCCACAGAAACACTGCGGACAGAGCTCTCCGCCCGCCATCCTTCAATGTGGGAAGAGAAGCCTCTTGCTGTCAGTGGCATTTTGCCAGCAGTGTGGCACCTTCAACAGCCTTTCTGTGTGCTCGCTGGAGATCCAGGGAACACACATTATTTAATGCAAATAATGGAACTTAAGCTTCATGAATTTGTTTTCTTCCTCCAGGGGATTCTCCTGTCAGATGACCTGTTCCACATGAAACAAAGTTCTCTGTGAAGCATTGCCCGTGGTCCCCACGCCAATTCTCACAAAAGTTATAATAGAATGTCTGAGAACCAAGATGCTAGAATTCAAAAGGCAAACAGCACATTAATAAATAGAATTGGACATAGTTATTTCTTTTGAATCTGCAGTGTACTATGCATTTTCTCTGCTGGTTTGCCATCAGGGCTGAAAGCCTATGATGCAATTCTAGACTCAGGATGGGACTTTTTCCTGGGAGTCCAAGACCAGAGTGCTGGCCGTGTTGCTTCCTTCTGAGGCTCTGAGGGAGAATCTAACCCTGTCTCTCTCCCAGCTTCTGCTGGCTCCTGGTGAGCCTTGGCTTCCAGCTGCGTGTCACAGGGCATCCTTCCTCTGTCCTCCATCTCTGTGTCTCTTCTCCTCTTTGACAAGGACGCCACTCATTCTGGATTGGGACCCACCCTCCTGCAGTAGGACCTCGTGTTAACTGATAACATCTTCAAAGACCCTGTTTCCAAAAAAGATTACATTCACAGGTACCAAGGTTAGGACTTCACTGTATCTTTCTGGAGGACCCACTTCAACCCACAACATCCCCCTGAATATTCCCATTACATTTTGCAAGATGGAAGTGCCAGCAGTGCGCTGAGGGCACACCAATGGCTTTATACACAGACATCATGGTGATACTCCAGCAAACAGGGGTGAGATGCTGATCTCTGACCCGGAGTCTTTTGGAAGAGAAAACAAATGCTCTTTCAAAGTGACTTCAAAACATTTATGTCTTCCTTTCACCTTACTTATTCAACCTGAATGCTGAGCAAATAATCCAAGAAGCTGGACTATATGAAGAAGAATGTGCCATCAGGATTGGTGGAAGACTCATTAACAACCTAACAACCTGCAATATGCAAACAACACAGCCTGGCTTGCTGAAAATGAGGAGGACTTGAAACACTTACTGATGAAGATCAAAGGTCACAGCCTTCAGTATGGATTACACCTTAACATAAAG